GAGCATAAATTTTTACGATATATGTGACTAAATATTTAATATTGATCAAAGGCTCTTCCCTAGCGACATACAGCCGTAGCACCCTATTGGCCGTAATAAGATTTGATCAAATAACACAATTGACGATTTATGTTTTTCATAAACTTCATTAATTTGTCGTGATACGAGCGAATCGTCTGTGAATTCTGAGTATGCAAGACAACCGGTATTAAGGCCTTTAAGCTAGTTCGTTCAATGTATTGTGCGACCTTCTCCGATATATGTAAGACCGTAGTTAATAGACTAAAACTGGTTTGGAAACTCGGAACTTAGCGTAACAAAAACTATATTAAGTTGAAAATGCAATCACGTGACATTGACCGTGCACAACATATACTTAACATAATATTTACAACATAATATACAATGGCTGTAGAAGGAGGAAACTGTAATAATATTTGTGATGCTTTTGAAAACTTTTGTAAAAGATCACGAACTTGAAAATTATGCTGAATCTATTTTAGAAGATGAGTACTTTTAAAAGTTTTAAAAACTGCATAAATCTAAAAAACACTTATCAACGATATAGCTGCTGAGAATGATAACAATTTTAAATTAAACTTTTACATCGAGATTTTGTTTTCACTAATAAAAAATGTGTTTTGCAAGATTATGGGAGGCTCTTTTTATGGCAATTAAATTATTGGGCAATTTATAACTCTTCTTAAAATTTGTTCTAAAAGTTTAAACGAGTCTTACGTTAGTTATTTTGGGAATGTAGTAATTCACAGCAAGACAATTTTAAATTGTGGTGATGAATATGAAGATTCTGCTACATTATTATTAAGCAAACTTGCAGATAGTATATCATGTTATTATAAAAACATATCTATTGTTAACAATGATCAGACATTAAATACACCTGCAATATGTGATAGGGAAAAGTATGGATTGCAAAACTTGGAGGTTATGTTATTCATAAAATTTAAAACAAAATTCAAAATTCTTGAACTAATAATACTCAATTGCAAAAAACATTGTCTATTTTAAAAAGCTGTTAAAATGAAACAAAAAATATAACTGACCAAAAGCTTGTCACTTGTCTTAATCGTGGTGAACTTACTGGCATTACAATTGAGTTTAAACAAATTTTAATTATAGCAGAAAAAATATTTTTTTCATCTACAGAACAGTCGAAACTTACTTAAAGTATAGGCAGATTTTTTGATCAAAAAAAGAATCTGTGATAAAGATTTAGATAAATATTACAGGGCTATTATTGAAAAATGTGATTTAAAAATTGAAAAAGATAGTCAAAATTTAAAAATTAAAAAAGATTGTAAAAGTTCTACTTTGATACTAGGTTTATATTTTCAAAGTTTGAAGTCATTTCTTCGCTAAAGACATTGTTAATAAGCATTAAGCAAAAAAACAAAAACAGGAGAACAACCAAAAAAAGGATTACATAAAAACATGAAACAACCATATAGACTAAAAGAAAAGCTCAAAAAATAATGTTTTTGTTTTTTCTATTCTAAATATAGTTTTTTTTTTTACTTGAGTAAAAATCAACTTTAAATATTTAAGTCAAAAAAAAGATTAATGTGTTATTTGCTCATTTATTTATTTTTTTTTATTGTTGAACACTTTTTTTAATATAATGTACATATAGATATAGATATATATCTATATCTATATCTATATATATATATATATATATATATATATATATATATTTATATATATATATATATATATATATATATATATATATATATATATATATATATATATATATATATATATATATATATATATACATATATGTATACATATATACATATATATATATATATATATACATATATATATATATATATATATATATATATATATATATATATATATATATATATATATATATATATATATATATATATATGTATATATATATATATATATATATATATATATATATATATGTATATATATATATATATGTATATTTATATATATATATACATATATATATATATATATATATATATATATATATATATAAATAAATATATATAAATATATATATATATATATATATATATATATAAATATATATATATATATATATATATATATATATATATATATATATATATATATATATATATATATATATATATATATATATATATATATATATATATATATATGCATATTTTTTGTTTCAAAGATCCAAGTTATACATTTTTTATATAATGTTGATTTTTAAAAGTTTTGAATATAAAGATTAGTTATAAAATCATGTTTTCGTTTTTTTTATTTTATTATTAAATCTTCAGAGATGTTTATCCAAGCTTGTTTATTGTCATATGAATTTCTAGTATTTCCAGTATTAAGCAAAACACTTTGTTAAATACATATTGCATTAACATTATAGCAAAACTGTTAAGCATCAGGGTTATCTGAATAGCGCCCAATTTTCTTTTGAGCACTAAAATATTCCCCCATTGAATCTTGGCAAAATCTTGTAAGTCTGTAATATAATATGGCATACCCTCACTTAGCAGAAACTTTATAACCTTGTTATATATTATCACATCTCAAAATATATATATATATATATATATATATATATATATATATATATATATATATATATATATATATATACATATATATATATATATATATATATATATATATATATATATATATATATATATATATATATATATATATATATATATATATATATATATATATAATATATATATATATATATATATATATATATATATATATATATATATATATATATAAATATATATACAATATCTAAACTTCTTATAAAGCAATATACTTGTACAAGATCACCTCTTGATTATCTATTTTCTAACATTGGGAGATTATATAGTAATATTACATGCGCTACTACACTATAGTAATACACAGTAACATAAGAGTTTGTGATATAACGCAACGTCATTATGATATGTTTTAATAATTATTACATTCTATATATTATCTGTAGTGATTGTTTACAACTTTTTTTATCATCTGGTTTAAATTGCGTTTCACAAGCAAAGACTTTTCCATAGTTGATTTGCTTTGTAACATATATAAAATACTCTATATTAAATATATACAAAACTGTGAAAAGCTGATAAAAGCTTGAGTCTACTGTTGCTAGACTCTAAACCAGTAATGTTTTATTTACTATGTATTTATAAATATATAGTAAATAAAACAAAGCATCTTGTATTTGTAGAATATAATGAACTTAAATAGTAATTTTCCTTTCGTAAATATTTGTAAATCACCTGTTTAAATATCATGTGACTCGAAGTAAATCTCCAGACTATCAACGAGTTTATAAAACAGTATTCAGTTATTTAATTTGCTCATTAATCTTAATGAGTAAACTAACTAAATGAATTTCTAATTTATACTCTAATAAAGCAGAAAACGTGTTCGTTTCTTGCTTACGATCCGTAATTAATTAAACATTTTATTATCTTTAACAATGCTCTCTTTAAAAAACAATGTAGAATCTATACTAACAATATTACTTCATTTTCAAGAGTTTGTTTAATGAACTTCATTCTGAAATCACATTATGTTACAAGCGTTAAACAACGTTAATAAGTTTGTGTGCACGGTCACTCTTGATTTACGCTCTATTTTTGTGTCAATAAGTTAAACAATGAATTTTACGGAGTTTCCAAACCATTTAAAGTCTATTAACTATGGTAAGACATTCGGCTCTTTTGTAGCTGCTGTTGTTTCATCTGATGTTTGATCAGAGTGTAATATAGCATAACATGTTTATATATCGGAAGAACAATGTCAGACATATCCTTAGGCATACCAAATACACTACATGTCACCATTTTTCTAGAATTCCGCACTGTCGCCATTTTGTGCTGTTTATAACTGGCAGTATTCTGATTACTCTTTTCTACTCTACAGTCTACACAATGCACAAACATTACACTATAATTTAGGTCAAATTTTTACTTTACTCACATGTAATTCAAATCCAAAACCAAATACAACATTAGTAATATTGATACAAGGTATAACTCTATTCTCTAAAAACTATTTATGAATGATAAATGAATCAGTAAAAATAGAATAGTATTCAGAACACTACTCTGATAATTATTCGGATCACCCAGAATACTGTTCTAAATAATATTCAGAATATCCAGAATACTATTTTGGCTAGGACTAAAAATTAAATATTATAATATTAAACAGAAGATTTAGTTTCGTATCTTTGAGAAACAAATAAGATTAAACAACAAAGCATTTGAAAAATAACATTGTATCGCTAAATTTTAGTAAAATTGATTAATTAAGTAAATCGGTTTATTTTTATTGATTTTATGCCTACTTTGATGAATTATGTCTCTGGCAGTTTTCATTGAAATGGCTTTTGATTTGTAATTTTAGAATCTCCAGGATCAATTCTACCAAATCCTACATTATTATTTGTATGTTTCATGCACATCCAACAGTACATCTGCTTAAACATCGCACAAATTGGAAACATGCAAATTTTACGTGCCAACCCCCATAGCTCAAAGCTTACTGAGAATCCTCAAGATCTATCACAACTCCAATGAAATTTTTACACATTACTTATATTATGTCAGAACAACTTTTCCTCACTATTACTTTTTTTTACAAAGATAAAAAAAAAATTCACTGCACCAAATTGTTTAACTCATTTACTATCAATAAAACATGGTATGTATGCTTATTCTGGTAATGTAGGGAATTTTTATGATCTATGGACTTCGACGCAGCATTTTTATATATCCAATTATCTTTGAATGTATATAAGAATCAACTTTTATTTTATATGTATAACTGTTATTATATACTATTAACAATAATAATCATCTACAATATAATAAGAATTATTTATTTCAAATAACGGTAAAAAAAAATTTTTATATTAATTGATTCCTGTGTCATTTTATTTAAAAAAATATTATCTTAAAAAAAAATTATTCTACAATAAATCACATATTTTTAACAAGTTTAATAATAATGTTTATCATTTTAACATATAAATTAAAACGAGTTAGTTTTTAGGGATACACTTTTTATGAAGAGAACGACAGCCTCTTTGAGCATTTTTTACTACTAAATAATCGACCACAGTGAGTACTTCTCGGGTATGCTTGGTTAATAAATCTAGATTAAAAAAGTCGAGTTAAACAAAAAACAAAACAAAAAAATCAAAATCTTTGCACAACACAAATAATTACTAATAGAATGAAATAGCATCAAAGCTCGAACAAAATACTAAAAAAGCTTTACAAAATTCACTTACTTTTACAAACGGTTTGTGTATTCAATGGGCCAATATGAGAGTAGCCTGGAAGACATTTGCAAGTATAGCTACCAACATTGTTTTCGCAAGCTGAAAAACTTGGGCAAACTGTACTTTTTAGTTGACATTCATTTATATCTAAATTAAGTTTAAAGGACATTTCTATGCTGATTTAAGTAATGGTTTGAATATGTAAAGTTTTTTATTAACTTAGAACATAAAAATCAAGAGAATAATTCTACTTGGTAATTATTAATTGGTCTTAGAAGTGTGTAAAAATATAATGATTTTGCCTAATAAATAATTTTTTGATTTTGCTCTGATTTCAGCTAAGTTAAGGTTTCTTTGCATTATTCAGAAAATAGAAAAAGGAACACAAAATTTTTTTGTGATTTGTTTGGCCAATATTTCTCATGATTTTACTTTTAAGATAATTTATATGACCAGTTCAAGTTACGTGTGTGTCTAGGAGTAAACCTAGAAATTTTAATGAATGAATAATTTGTTTATATCGTTAATACAATATACATAGCATCCGATTTTTACATTGTTAACACAATATACATAGCATCAAGATTATTCTGGATTTTATTGTGTTCGTCAAAGCAATAAAAAAGATCTAATTGGTGTGAGTTAAATTAATTGAAAATTTATCTTCATAAAATCATTCAAAAAGTTTCAACAGTTCCATGTAGGGTAGGGGTGTTCAAAAATTAGGTCATAGAAAAATTTTTATTAATAAATAGGCAATTTTTTGTGGACTGTAATAAAGGATATAATACTGTTTTTTGTTTGTTTATTTTTTTTTTGATTATTTTTTTTGGCGGTGGGTCTTTTTATGAAAATAGAACTCGGATTTTTTTTATGTATGCTTAAATAATTTGTAGAAGCAAAATAACTAGCAATGTATTTTGATTAAACACCTTAAAAAAAAAATGAGGGGGGGGGAGCCCACCCCAGTCAATCTCTTTAAATAATAATCAAACAATGGTAAAAATGTATTAAACAAAAATTACAAAAATAAATATAAAATAATTAACTAGCTGTCATTAGCAGCCTCGTGGTCATCAAACAGTTGTTCTACAGCATTAAAACCAAGAAACAAATCAGGGCTGCTATTTGATTCAGAGTCCATTTCACAGAAGCTTAATACATTTACAGCTGATGTTTTCTTCTTTTCGCTTATTTGCGATAAGTAGTTTTGAAAATTCAGTTGTTTTTGAATTTGAGCTTATGTTCAGACTTAACTTTACACACTGTTTCCTGTACCAGCTGTACAACTGTACAGCCCTCTAGCTACATTCATTAACGACAGCCAAGTTTTTGACGTACGACTGGATAAACTCCAAATAATTGAAACGAGTATTCCAGGAAACAGCTGGATAAATCATTCGTTTGGCTTTATTATGTCATGGCCTAAAATCTCAAATTACCCATTAATCAGCAGTGATGAGGTCAACTAGTTCTGGCCGTACATACTCATTCCAAATGACAATTGTCTGTCATAGTCATTTAGTATGTTTTAGAGCTTTTTGATGATCATCTCCTTGTTCAGTGATTGAATTATCTAAATTTGCTAGCACAATGGGAATAACAGTTGGATCCAGGTACCAGCTATGGTTTCTCCATTGTTTGAACACTGCACTTGCAGCAGGTTCACCCTCAACATACCTGGACATCTTCCAAATAGAATTCAAATCCTGATAAAAAAAAATGATATATTTTTATAATTTATAGTTCTAATGCATGAAATTCAGTATTTAATGTAGACTTATGTTTGTATAATATTTTTATTTTGTTAGAATACCTGTAACGGAGCAATGCGTGGTTTCTCATTAGTCAATAACTTGGATGCGTAGAAGATAGAAATAAACTTGCCCATCCTGGTGATGAGAGCTGAATCTAGATTTATATGGTTTTGTACAGAATCTTTAAGAAGGAGATTTTTTAGGTAATAAATACCTTTGGTCATGAATCTAGCATGGTGCATGGCACCAGGTTTCTTAATTTTGGAAATACAATTTGGGTTCAGGTACATAAGACATAACTCTAATAGCTCATGGTAGTCATCTCTTTTTTTACCTGTCTAAAATTTTATTATGTTTTTATTGAACGTTTGCTAAGTCTAGATAAATGCAGTTTGCCAGTATTACTGCTAATAGTATCAAAGCATATTGAGTGCACATTGTTGCTATTTCCCTCTCCTTCAAAAGATCATTGATTGCATTATACTGGTTTAGGCCAGTGCCAGAGTCAATGCTTGGGACACCTAGAAGACTATTTTTTCCAAAAAAACAAGTACACAAATCCTATCGTTCGCTTTGTCACAGTTCTCAGGTATATAATTCTTTAATATTTTGCCATCAAAATGTAATTCAAGCTTGCCATCCTTGTGGTTGATGTAATACTGCAGTAATTTTTTTATCTCTTCAAAATCTTGATCAAGTATCTTACTTTTTATTCTTAATACAATCAAATATGAAAGAGGCAGCTAATCTGGATTACCTTACCTTTCAATTATTAACTTTGTTAGAGAAGCAGTGATATTATTGGCAGATATGTTGACTCCCAGAGCCGCTCTCATTGTGTTATGTATGGTGTGTTTGCTAATGTAAATATGTTGAGATTGAAAATTTGATGTGTTTTTTTTTTTTTTTGCAGGACTAAGCTGATATTTAATGCCACTAGAACTGATGTTTTCAGATGAATTCAAAGTTTTAAGTACTGAATCCTTAGCATCTACAATAGAAGGTATTTTATAAGTCACTCTTTCCAGATCTCTCTTTTCCAGATTTCTATTTTCTTTATGCTTTGAATAGTCAGCTCTGGCTTGGTGCAGATCTTTGATGCACATCTTGCAATCTGTTATCTGATCTCTGATGAACACAATTTCATTTGCTTTGTCTTCCTTGAATATAAACTTATCCATCTTAATAACTTTAATAAGTGGTCAGTCCTTGCCTAAAGTAGTTCTATAAAAGTAAAGCAAGTTATGTTAGTTAATATAATAAAAATGCAATTTGTTTGTTGTTATGATCTGCTTTTTTTGAGAGCTGAAACAAACACTACCACTGTCAACAGACTTTAATTCGCTCTTTTTTGTTCTCATTTTTTAATTTTATTAATAATTTAAATGATTAACATTGAATATCTTACATATTTGCCATTTGAATAAAAAAAGTTTTTAAAAATACTATAACAACTGTACAAAGAAAATTAATTCGCTTATTAATATTAAAATTGACAAAGCCAGTACGAGGTAAAAAAAAATTAAAAAAAACAACAAAAGACAGTTTTTTATTTCTTAATTATAGTCCGCAAAAAATGGCTTATTATTTAGTGAAATTTTTCCATGACCTAATTTTTAACGCCCCTAATGTTCGGTTCAATTCGAAAACTAATTGTCTTTCGATTTGAAAATATGAGTTTTTTAGTGTTGGTTTGTTTTGATATATTTTTTGATATATATTCTATATATTTTTTGATTTATTCTTTTTCACTATTTTGAAAGCAATGATATTAAAAGCGTTTTAAACTGTGACATTAAAAAGCTTTTTTTTTGCCGCGTGCTTTTTTCGTGAACAGACGTGTTTTTGAAGCAAAGAATTAATAAAAAAAATCTTAGTAATTTTATGTTTTAATTATCTTTAAATCGGAATTCATATTCAAATTTATCAAACCATATTTAAAATTTTGCATGCCTTAGTTTTTTGAAAAAAAATGGAAGTTACAATTAAAAATATTGAACGACTTATAAAGACAAAACTCGAAGAACAAAAAAAAATATTTTCTTAAAAAAACTGGCTAACTTCTGAAAAAGCAAGAAGCAAAGTTTACAAATATTTTAAGTTCAAATCTGAAAATTATCACGGATAGGCGTGATGAACTCGATAGCGACAACGTCAACAAATATAAAACTTCAACATTAGTAAAAAACTAAATATCAAAGAAACTTTTAGCTTCTAAGTAGAAAACTTCACAAATAAATACAAATAAGCAGGCTTGTGGAGCCTAGCCGGAGCCGGAGCCGCAAAAATTGAGCGGCTCTCGGCTCTCGTGGGTTTTTTTAACGGAATAGAATGTATGTTTATTGTTTTACTGTAGACAAACTTTATTCATTTATTGTTAAACTAATTTGTTGAATGAATTATTTATTGAACTTCTATTTTTTGAAAATTTTTTTTTCTAACAGTTACGGTTATGCCAAAACTTAATAAAAATGAATATTTTAACGATTTTGTGCTCAACAAAATACTATCCTTTAATAAAATTTCTTAATTTTCTTTATTAAAAAAAAGTAAATTATAAATGGAAACATTTCAGTGATGCACATATTGCTTTATATTATATTTTTATACTGATACTATGCTATCAAATATTAAAAAGATGTAAAGTTTCAGAGTTTTCTAAAGATTAAAATTTGGCATGCAATATGCAGCTGCGGTTTGAAATCTCGAGCTTTTGTCACATAGTCAATTTTAAACTTGGATGTTTACATTAAAGAATACTTGCAAGCTAGACTTTTGGAATTTTATTGAAGTCACGATATCCCGTGTTGGTTCTGGCTTAATCTTGCTTCTTGTCATTATTCTAAGAACAGTGACATCAAATTCATACCAAAAAGCTTGAATCCATCAATTTGCACACAGTTCCGTCCCATTAAGAAGTTGATGTCGTTAATAAGCGTAAATGTTTGCTTATTTATTTGAAATAATAAAAATATTAAAGTAAAGAGCACTTTTATAATCTTCAAGTTCCTTATATTAAAATAAATATTTTTTGCATTAGTTAAACTATTTTTCATTTTTTTCGAATTTTTTATCGTTTTTAATTTAACGTTCGCATGCTTTACCCAGTGGGCATGAGACATACAAATGAGGTCTTTTAAACGGCTTTGGAGTGTTTACAACGTCTTTTAAACGTTTTGGACATCTTTTGAAAGTTTAAAATACGTCTTTTTTAGGTCCCGTGCCAACTGCATACCCAGTGGGCACGGGACTCAGTGTGGGCATAAGAAAGACGTTTTGGATGTCTTTGGGACGTTCAAAAGACGTCTTTTTTAAGTACTGTGCACCCTGGGTAAAATTAAAACTAAAATTTCAAACAAAAACTTTAGTTTTGTTTAAATAATGTATAGA